CTGTAACATCGGGCATATTTTGTAGTATTAAACACATATTTATACCGACTTCATCAGGCTCTGAAAATTCTTCACAAAGAACACAAAGAATGGCCTTCTCAGCTGCCATAGTTGCAACTCTTGCGTCATCAGAACAGTGTGTTCAACGCATCACCGTTTCTGTTTAAAAAACGTTGTACAACGTTTTGTCGGGGCTGAACGCAGCCCAGGTTGACAGGCAGGTACATGGTATCATTGCTTTCGGACCGAATGCAATGATTGGACGAACATTTTTTGATCCTGTGACTTCTAAAGAGTACATGTTTTAATATTTAGACCACTTATATTATTAATTTATATCAGAACGTGAAGAGAGTTTAAGCCCATAACAAAATGTGTTTACAAAGCAAATTGCATACCCTTCCTTTAAAGAGTTATAGATGCTTTAAAAACATATTGCTCATTGTTATTTTATGTTGGCCAATGCATTAATTAATGTTAACAAATGAGATCTTATTGTACAGTGTTACCAAAAACAGTAACATTGTGAAATATTATAAACATTTAAAATAACTGTTTTCTATTTTAATATATTTTATTATTCCTGCATGTTGAATTTTCAAGTCATAACTCCAGAAATCGTTCTTATATGCTGATTTGGTGATCAAGATACATTTATTATTATTATCAATATTGAAAACTGTTTAATAACAATCATTGGTAAGGGACCTGCTATAAATTAAGCTTATGTCGTTTTAGTTTCATATTGTTCATTATTAGTTTCATAGGTTGTTAAACCTAAGACGAACTCTTTCATATTGCGCTGCATTACTGTCAGTGTTGTTGACTATTACTGACGGTAAAGTTGCGCTGTTGACGCTCGCGCAGCCTCTCGAGGAGAAATCTACACACATGAGCGCAGCACACACACACACACACTCAGTTAACATACTGCCTATAAAAAATCTAAATGTGGAGTTTTTATATTTTTAACATATGTTAAGCAACCTCAATATTTTTCCTGAACACCATCACGATTGGAAATGTGACATTGATTCCCTGCTACAACAGTTCAATAAACAGTTAAAATTAAGTCACTTACATTTTAGATGCAATATTGCAATATTGGCTGTTTTTGTTCTGTTTCAGCAGCGAAAATAGTTCCAAACAAAAATCACAGCAGAACCACGGCGCATCTCACAGGAACACTCAACCTGTTTTCATTACTGAATGATTCAGCATTTTGAACGAATCGATTGAGTCAAAGATTCAATGACCCAAACATCTGTCTCATTCTTGAATGAATCAGCAGTTTGAACAAATCGTTTGAATGAATGAATCAGTGACTCACTCATTAAGATGGTCGCCTACAGGCGGTTTCGTGTTATGTTTAAAAGTAGATCATTCTTTCCAACGTTTCTTATTTGTAAATTTAAATCAATTTTATAACATTATTTAATGTTTATTTTATGCAATTGTAATTTTTCAGTGTAAATGATTTAATTTGATCAGCCCTATAGTGTCTTATTATTGGAAATAATTTAATTTATTGATCAAATTTGGGAATTTAAAATGAAAGATGAAGCATAATAATATTGGGGAAGGGGATGCCCTTTAAAGGTGCAAATATTACAATATGCCGATTTAAATATCAAAGCTGATTGAACACTGATGAGAAATATTGTTTCAGAATAAAAAAAAAATAAAAAAAAATAAATAAAAAAAAATCCGGACGAGAAACTTTTTACTCGGACAAGTGAATGACAGATTTACTTGTCCGAAGGACAAGCGTATGAAAAGGCTTAATGTCGACGTCGACCCCTGCCTATAGGAATGTCATCAGGAGATAAACATACACCGATAGGTGGCCCACCTTACCAGGTGCGATATTTTTTTTCACAGGATGGTAGGGGAAGACTCATGAATATTCATTAGGGAACTCATCCCCCTATGACCTACCCCCTAACCCCGCCCCTAAACCTACCCGTCACTGGGGGTCTGATGACCTACCCCGGTGACCACGTCATGGTCCACCAGAATTTATAGTTTACCCACCTCTTTTTTTACCACTACACCTCTGTTCTAAAGGGAATGCACACAGCTCACTGTTGGATTGCAGTCACGTAGGAATGCATACAGTACAGTGGGTTGATGACCTCCAACATTTAAATCTCTGTCATTGTGAACGCCCCTTCAGCCAGTAATGCATGGAATTTGTCATAAAACCTGGTCAGCCCTGCTAAATACAGTAAATCCTATTGTCACGCTATGTGGAATTTTGTTAATCTTAACATTCCTTCAACAGAAATAGTTTTATTTACTGAGAAATTCTGCCAATTCTAAGAAGTAATCCATCATCCAGCTTGACAAACTACAGCAGATGTGTATTTGCTGTCAGCTACAGTATGTGAATGAAATATGTATTAGCTTTAAGTCAGATAGATTGTGTAACAGCAAATGTAAAAAAAAAAAAAGGACACATGGAGGAATGCGTGTTGGCTTGACTCCTCAGGAAGAATGTCACACCAAACCTAAGGAAATACAGACTTGGGGTTGCATTATTATGTTTAAATAAAATAAAACTAGTAATTAGCTCATTCATTTAAAGAAGGGGGGGGAAAGCCCTAATTTCACAGAAAGTGTAATCCACTTGTGGTGCGTGTTGGACACTTTGCCATAGGTAGGCTAACATGTTCATTATGACTGCAAGGAAGAAGCATGTGGTGCAGCAGTATGACTAATAATAATCAGACTGATGAAAACGGCTTTGAATTGTTGATTTAATGAACCCAACATCTTTCTGGTGTAAAAATGCAGTCATCCTCTTGTTTTACAAGCGATGTTAAACTGTATGAGAGCGCCATCTGCTGAATATTGAAGACAATCGTATTGAAATCGAGTTGGAAAAAAATAGGCCAAATGTATCAGGCTGGATTAATGTTACTCATAAAATTAAATCAACATCAAATAGAAAAATAAATAATAATAAATCCACAAGATATAATAACTTTAAATGCTCTAATTATAAATAATTGGACATTCTCTATTTCACATTAACCAGAGATCATACCATCTACTATATGGTAGAATTTCGATATTCATTGTTTTAGACTAAACAGAGAAATATTATAATAAAATCTGAGGAATTCCCTTATATTCTAAACATACACTGCTTAACTGCTTTAGTCTTTATTCACACATAAAAAAAAAAAAAAAAATACAAAACTTTTATATTTCATGTATATTTCATGTTCTACTGTACATGAACATCTTGGATGACATGGGGGTGAGTAAATTATCAGGAAATTTCAATTCTGAAGTGAATTAATCCTGTTTAAGCCTGTTTAATGAGACAACAGGTATGTTTTGGTAGTGGGAAGCACAGTTTTTGTAACGTTCGAACGATATGTGACCCTGGACCACAAAACCAGTCACATGGGTCAATTTTTTGAAATTGAGATTTTTACTTCTGAAAGCTGAGTAAATAAGCTTTCCATTGATGTATGGTTTGTTAGGATATGAAAACATTTGGCCGAGATACAACTATTTGAAAATCTGGAATCTGAGGGTGCAAAAAAAAAAAATCGAAACATTGAGAAAATCGCCTTTAAAGTTGTCCACTTATGTTCGCGATGGTGCTGCATTCATTCACAAAAATAAATGTTTTATATATTTACGGTAGGAAATTTACAAAATATCTTCATGGAACATGATCTTTAGTTAATATCCTAATGATTTTTGGCATACATGAAAAATCGATCATTTTGACCCACAATGTATTGTTGGCTATTACCACAAATATACCCGTGCTACTTGTGACTGCTTTTGTGATCCAGGCTTTTGTGATCCAATGTGTGTGCTATATCTGCAAGGTTGGACTTCATGTGTTGCTGTGAACTTGAAAGAATGAGACGACACAGGAAGCTAATTGGAAGCAATGTTTATTCATTTGGAGCACAATAAAGAAAGACACTGTTTGCATCTTACATGTGTGCATGGAGTTTGTACGGGTCAAATACTTCTATACTACTAACTCCTGTTACCAATACCAGTGGCTTAGTGGAAAGCAGTAGCATTAGCAATAATCATTCATTGGCATTTTGCTCTGAGTTTTATTAAAGCCTGTTACATTTGTTCCAAGACTATAATAAAGCATTAAGAAAACAACTTTGCAACATCACTGAATCACATACAATCAACATTTTTGTTAATAAACAATCTTTTCTTTGTTGACATCATTATGAGTAAAAGCTTATTGAAATAAATAAACATGGAAGCTCATGTGCTAAAGCTCTCCATAACGTCCACTGCATAAAGAAGATAAGCTGGAGAACAACAAGAACAATGCAAGCATTGTACTGCTGCATGACAGAAATAATGCTAACTTGCCCATTTAGAAGATCCAACTGTGCAGATTCTGTACAATTCAGCAGTTCAACAGCACAAAATCTCAACAGAAGTAGGAAAAGCCATATAGACAAATCTCATTACTTATTTTAGAAGATTAAAATGTAGTTTGTGTTTTTAGAGTATGTTTGTTTAAAATGTTTGTTTAAATCGATTAGAAAGTAAATGTACATGTTAAATAATTTTGTATGAGAATGATACAAATATTCAATACTTGTACAAATGATAAAAACGATAAAAGTGTTCTATTAGATATCAAAATGATTCAGAAGTGACAAAATAAACAGCAGCGTATGCAGAGGGATCCGTTGCTTCAAACTGGAGTCTTCTGTGAAAGTAGAAAGGAACATTGATTATAAACAATGATGCATTGTTAGAGCAATGGAATAATATTCAGTAATTAAGCAAAGCGTGATCCAAACGGCAGTCTGTTGGAAAATAGGCTGCTCATTAACCGAATAGACAAACCGTGACAGAAAGTTCAATCACGTACCATTTCTGAACAAACTGTACAAAACCACAAAAATGCATGAATATGGAATAAACGACAATAGAAGATGACATATAGGCCTAATTAAATGGATACCCAAAATGGTGATGCAAAAAAAAATGTAACTATGGATGTCTATTAGATTTTCAATAATAAGGGTACATTTAGGCCTAGCCTACACAACAACGATGTACTAAAAAGTTTTCCTTTGCGTTTTTCGCTCACAGACGACAACGTTGTCCCCTCCTTGAACTGCCGCCTTAACGTGGTGGAGGGGTTTGAGTACCCGAATGACCCTAGGAGCTATGTTGTCTGGGGCTATATGCCCCTGGTAGGGTCTCCCAAGGCAAACAGGTCCTAGGCGACGGGTCAGACTAAGAGCGGTTCAAAAACCCCTTATGATGGACAACAATACAAGGACTGTGACGTCGCCCGGTATGGCGCAGCCGGGGCCCCACCCTGGAGCCAGGCCCGGGGTTGGGGCTCGTATGCGAGCGCCTGGTGGCCGGGCCTCTCCCCACGGGGTCCGGCCGGGCTCAGCCCGAAGGAGCGACGTGGGACCGCCTTCCCGTGGGCTCACCACCTGCAGGAAGAGCCGTAAGGGGCCGGTGCAGAGAGGATCGGGCGGCAGTCGAAGGCGGGGGCCTCGACGACCCGATCCCTGGACACGGAAACTAGCCTTAGGGACGTGGAACATCACCTCGCTGGCGGGGAAGGAGCCTGAGATCGTGCGTGAGGTTGAGAGGTTCCGACTAGAGATAGTTGGGATCACCTCTACGCATGGCTTGGGCTCTGGAACCACACTCCTTGAGAGAGGATGGACTCTTCACCACTCTGGAGTTGCCCATGGTGAGAGGCGACGGGCTGGTGTGGGTTTGCTTATAGTCCCCCAGCTCAGCCGCCATGTGCTGGAGTTTACCCCGGTGAACGAGAGGGTCGTTTCCCTGCGCCTACGGGTCGGGGATAGGTCTCTCACTGTCGTGTGTGCCTACGGGCCGAACGGCAGTGCAGAGTACCCGGCCTTCTTGGGGTCTCTGGGAGGAGTGCTGGAAAGTGCTCCGACTGGGGACTCCGTCGTTCTACTGGGGGACTTCAACGCTCACGTGGGCCGCGACAGTGACACCTGGAGGGGCGTGATTGGGAGGAACGGCCCCCCCGACCTGAACCCGAGCGGTGTTCAGTTATTGGACTTCTGTGCTAGTTACAGTTTGTCCATAACGAACACCATGTTCAAGCATAAGGGTGTCCATCAGTGCACGTGGCACCAGGACACCCTAGGTCGTAGGTCGATGATCGACTTTGTGGTCGTTTCATCTGACCTGCGGCCGTATGTCTTGGACACTCGGGTGAAGAGAGGGGCGGAGCTGTCAACTGATCACCACCTGGTGGTGAGTTGGATCCGATGGCGGGGGAGGAAGCTGGACAGACACGGCAGACCCCAGCGTACTGTAAGGGTTTGCTGGGAACGTTTGGCCGAATCTCCTGTCAGAGAGATCTTCAACTCCCACCTCCGGCAGAGCCACGACCGGATCCCGAGGGAGGCTGGAGATATTGAGTCTGAGTGGACCATGTTCTCCGCCTCCATTGTCGAAGCGGCGGCTCGGAGCTGTGGCCGTAAGGTCTCCGGTGCCTGTCGAGGCGGCAATCCCCGAACCCGGTGGTGGACACCGGAAGTAAAGGATGCCGTCAAGCTGAAGAAGGAGTCCTATCGGGCCTGGTTGGCTTGTGGGACTCCTGAGGCAGCTGACAGGTACCGGCAGGCCAAGCGGACTGCAGCCCGGGTGGTTGTGGAGGCAAAAACTCGGGCCTGGGAGGATTTCGGTGAGGCCATGGAGAAGGACTATCGGCTGGCCTCGAAGAGATTCTGGCAAACTGTCCGGCGCCTCAGGAGAGGGAAACAGTGCCCTACCAACGCTGTTTACAGTGGAGGTGGCCAGCTGTTGACCTCAACTGGGGATGACGTCGGACGGTGGAAGGAATACTTCGAGGATCTCCTCAATCCCGCCGTCACGTCTTCTATTGAGGAAGCAGAGGCTGGGGGCTCAGAGGTGGACTCGTCCATCACCCTAGCTGAGGTCACCGAGGTAGTCAAGAAACTCCTCGGTGGCAAGGCACCGGGGGTGGATGAGATCCGCCCTGAGTACCTCAAGTCTCTGGATGTTGTGGGGCTGTCTTGGCTGACACGCCTCTGCAGCATCGCGTGGCGGTCGGGGACAGTGCCTCTGGGATGGCAGACCGGGGTGGTGGTCCCTCTTTTTAAGAAGGGGGACCGGAGGGTGTGTTCCAACTACAGGGGGATCACACTTCTCAGCCTCCCTGGGAAAGTCTATGCCAGGGTACTGGAGAGGAGAATACGGCCGATAGTGGAACCTCGGATTCAGGAGGAACAGTGCGGTTTTCGTCCAGGCCGTGGAACACTGGACCAGCTCTATACCCTCTACAGGGTGCTGGAGGGTTCATGGGAGTTTGCCCAACCAGTCCACATGTGCTTTGTGGATTTGGAGAAGGCATTCGACTGTGTCCCCCGAGGCGGCCTGTGGAGGGTGCTCCGGGAGTATGGGGTCCCGGGTCCTTTGCTAAGGGCTGTCCGGTCCCTGTATGACCGAAGCAGGAGCTTGGTTCGCATTGCCGGTAGTAAGTCAGACTTCTTCCCGGTGCATGTTGGACTCCGGCAGAGCTGCCCTTTGTCGCCGGTTCTGTTCATAATTTTTATGGACAGAATTTCTAGGCGCAGCCAGGGGCCGGAGGGTGTCAGGTTTGGGGACCACGCGATTTCGTCTCTGCTCTTTGCGGATGATGTTGTCGTGTTGGCCCCCTCACACCAGGACCTTCAGCATGCACTGGGACAGTTTGCAGCCGAGTGTGAAGCGGCTGGGATGAGAATCAGCGCCTCCAAATCCGAGGCCATGGTCCTCAGTCGGAAAAGGGCGGCTTGCTCACTTCAGGTTGGTGGAGAGATCCTTCCTCAAGTGGAGGAGTTTAAGTATCTTGGGGTTTTGTTCACGAGTGAGGGAAGGATGGAACGGGAGATTGATAGACGGATTGGTGGAGCTTCTGCAGTAATGCGGTCGATGTACCGGTCTGTTGTGGTGAAGAAAGAGCTGAGCCGTAAGGCAAAGCTCTCGATTTACCGGTCAATCTACGTTCCTGCTCTCACCTATGGTCATGAGCTTTGGGTCATGACCGAAAGGACAAGATCCCGGATACAGGCGGCCGAAATGAGCTTTCTCCGCAGGGAGGCTGGGCGATCCCTTAGAGATAGGGTGAGAAGCTCGGTCACTCGGGAGGAGCTCAGAGTAGAGCCGCTGCTCCTCCACATCGAGAGGGGTCAGCTGAGGTGGCTCGGGCATCTGTTTCGGATGCCTCCTGGACGCCTTCCCGGGGAGGTGTTCCGGGCACGTCCCACTGGGAGGAGACCCCGGGGAAGACCTAGGACACGCTGGAGAGACTATGTCTCCCGGCTGGCCTGGGAACGCCTCGGTGTCCCCCCGGAAGAGCTGGAGGAAGTGTCCAGGGAGAGGGAAGTCTGGGCATCTCTGCTTACTGTGCGTTCACACCGCCGGCGGCGAGAGCGTCAAAGTGGCCGGAAGTCATTCATTTTCAATGAGAGCCGGCGGCGAGCCCCGGCGAGGGCGGCGCGGCGCGTCTTGGACGGTGAGAGCGGCGAGGAGCGGCGAGAAGAAGTTGAAATCAGCTCAACTTTAGGGAAATGAGCTATGACGCGGTTCGGCGGCAACCAATCGGAATGTAGATGTGCTCCGTTTGAGAGGATTCCAGAGAACGCAGTCAAGTAACTTTGGTTCCGACCACATTAGTTCCCAAGCAAAATAGAGGAGAGGTTGATCATTTGAATTTCATTAGAAGGCGCGCAACACTATTTATAGGCAAGATATTCGTGCAAGAACGCTTGTTTTTCAGCGGGAATGCAAATTAGAATAGCATTTAACTATGAACACAAAAGCCACACCAAACAAATGGCTTTTAATTTGTTTATTTCGTTAGCAAACATGTCACTATAATTGTTAAGTTCTTTCCATCGATACATTTTCTGCAAACATAACGATCGACATGCTTGTTTGCTTCGCGGCCCCTTTAAATAAAGTTTTAAAAAAGACCAAGCATTCGATCTACGTCAGAGCATCAGAGCGTCCACGAATCTTTCCACGGCGTCGCTGACAGGGCGGCGAGAGCGAATTTTGCCGCTCTCGCCGGCGGCGGTGTGAACGTACGGTTAGACTGCTGCCCCCGCGACCCGGCCCCGGATAAGCGGAAGAAGATGGATGGATGGACGACAACGTTGTCAAAACGATCTAGCGTTCACACGGATCGGCGAAAATGACTAATTATTCTGCCAGGCCAGTAGTTGGCGATGTCAATTTGTAAAGAAACACCACGCACTTATAGACTGAACACGCCCTGTAATACGCATGCGCACAAATTCATGTTTTTTTTTGTAGTTTACACAGAGACGAGAACGGTATCATTGACAAAAACTTGCACTTTTGAATCCCGTTTTCCAAAGTTTGCGTTTTCAGGCCTCCAACCTCCCCTGAATAAATATCTAATTGCTTAGAAATGCTTCTAATATAATGTAGGTGTAATTCAAACAGTAATGAACACCCGTGAACGTGTGTTAACATATAAGAATCAAGAATTCAACAATGCCATGGTACAAGCAGTAAAACCTTTTACCTGAATCAGCACAACTATTAAGCCAACAAGCAGACCAATTGCCAATATGGTGGCGATGACAGCCCACACACACACGCCACTACAACTGCACAAGTGATGCTGCATGAAAAACTTGGCCTTGCTCAGTCGGGCTGCTGTTAGTGGAGGGTAACGGGCGTCATTTAAACTCTCCATAGCAAAAGACTTGATGAGGCAGGAACGATGGTGACTCAGCTGGTCAAACGTGTGTCTCCCATGATATCTGCCCATTCCACTGTTTCCTTGCAGAGAAAGAGTGAGAAAAATGGAGAGGTTGAGACAAACAGGTCAATATATCATCCGAAAGAAATTAAACTATATATGTATACTGTATATATAGTTTCTTTAAATAATTAAATAGTTGTGTATTACATTGATGTTTATCCAAAATTGAGTGATATAAGTGATTTCTAATTTCTTATATTCTTATATCTTAGTGATTTCTTATACATACAGATATAATCACTTAATATTTAAAACATTAAGATATAAGAAAAGAAAAATGTATTATCTTATCACTTAATTATATATAAAATATAATTTAAATGATGGTTTCTAAATCAAAAGTTGTATATTCAAAATTCATCCCCACCATTTTACCATTATTACTTTTCTTGAATGATTTGTAATTGGTTTGCTTACCCACACCTCCAAAAGGCAAGGTATCGACAGTATAATGCATCAAGACATCATTAACAGTAACTCCTCCACTGGTGGTTTCTGTTAACATTCGTTTGATCACCTAAATGGGATAAAGATTAACTTAAATATAATCAAATTGACTTGAAATTTGAATGTCTGCCTTCCAAAAAACATTGGTAATCAAAATAATACCGTTTTATCAGAGGAAAACACATAGAGCGCCAAAGGCTTTTCCCTTGTGTTGATAAAATTGATGGCCTCACTCAAGCCATTAACAGTGAGAATTGGCAGCAGCGGTCCAAAGATTTCTTCTTGCATGATTTTGAAATGGGGCAAAACATCCTTTAGGACTGTAGGACCTGGTGGGGAAGAAAAAAAATACAAATTTAGCTTGATCAAAGTCAACTTATAAGTAATCTCACTCTTTTATTATTGACAATAAAAGTTGCCCTTACCTATGTAACACTCTGAGCGATCACTCTTTCCTCCAAGAGCAATTGTACATTCGTTCATCAGAGCTAATACTCTGTCAAAGTGACGTGTGTTAATGATTCTGCAATAATCTGGAGAGCTTTTAGGGTCCTCTTGGTAGAACTCCTGAAATGAGTTAAGATTTTAGATCATGTCACAGTACCATTGTGGGAATGTAACACAATTTAATACAAAAGAAAGAAAAGTACACACCTGCAGTGTTTTTTGAATCTCTTTAACTATCCTATCCTGGATGCTTGGCTCACACAGAATGTAGTCAGGTGCAATGCATGTCTGACCACAATTTGCAAACTTCCCCCAGGTTATTCGTCTGATATAAAGGTTGGACATTTGGAAAGTTGTTATTTTAACTGATTTTCTGTTTCCCAAAAGCTTTAAATTACTTAGAATTTAAAGAGTTAGTAAAAATGAAAATTCTGTCATCATTTACTCACCCTCGTGAAGAATTCAAATGAAAGTCAATAGGGTCCAAAACAAAACTAGACCCCATTGACATTGACAACACAGACATTTTTCAAAATATTTTGTATTGAACAGAATAGACACAACAATTCAAACAGGTTTAGAATGACATGAAGGTGACTAAATGACAGAATTTTTATTTTTGCTGAACTATTCCTTTAACATAAAACTGTATAATACCGGCATGCCACGGCAATGTCACAGTTCTTGTCAATATAACAAGGGCTTTTCCCACCCAGTTCTAGAGTCACTGGTGTGAGATGATGAGCTGCTGCTTCCATAACCAGTTTCCCCACAGCGCTGCTTCCAGTGTAGAAGATGTGGTCGAAACGCTGCTTCAGCAGCTCCTGGGTCTCTGGAACCCCTCCTGTCACCACTTGATACATCTCCTAAAATGATTCAAAAGTTTGTCATGCTGTTCTTAAAGAACTTACAGCAAACATGAGACTGAATTATAAAAACAAAATGAGTTCAAGAACCTTATCTAGATAAAGAGGAAGCAGTTCTTTCATAAGTCTAGCAGAGTGCTCACTCAGCTCTGATGGTTTCACCACAGCGGCATTGCCTAAATAACAAGAAGAAGTGGAAAACTGTGTAGGGGGTGAAATCTCATTTGGTGTTGGTGATTCTTCTCAATGAGCTAAAAGAGATTAAAAGTCGACATGAAATCAAAACTGACACCATTTACTTTCTAACTGCACATGCATAGTCTTGAATCTTCCTTCGAAATGTAATACTGTAACTTGCTCCAGTCTCTCTTTCCCATCTATGCAACCTTTTTGATTTCTGTCCCGACCTCGTCCAGCTCAGTATTGTGGCCATAAAAATTTTCTTTAGCCCTCCTCCTCTCCAGAACCACCTGTCTAGATGTGTAATGGGGGGTTCTGCCTACTTTACCTTGCTGCAGCAAAAGGATGTAGACTAATCCCTGTAATTCTGGGTAAGTTTCAGCAGTAAACTTAGCTCATACCAGTAGCAACATAGCAGATCTAATCCCCCAAGATCAATCCTACCTCCATTCTTATCAATAAAAGTTGTCATGACTGAACTTTCTTTATCAGCTATAATTCACCTCCTACTATATTTATTAACCTTTTATATTCCAATCAATTCTCAATAGACAAAATCTCGACTCAAAAAAGTCTCGCCCAACATTTTTCTGGTTTACATTGTGGAAGTAGCACGGCTGAACACAAAGTTTCACGTTGGCTGTAATAAGAATAGATCGTAGTACCAGCTGCAATGGCTCCGACGAGGGGCTGCAGGATCATGGCCCAAGGGTAGTTCCAGGTTCCTATTATCAGCACAACACCCAAAGGTTCAGGCTTTATGTAAACATCATCAAGTGCGCTGTTGAGATTCTTCTTCACGTGCCGAGGAGCTGCCCAGTCTGCCATGTCACTCTCTGCCAACTTGATGTCACTCTCAATGCCGATCAGCTCAAAGAGTGAAGTGTTATACGAACTCTGTTTGATGACAGTGACAATAAGGATTAAAAGTGTTCCTAAAAGGGATGATTTTTATAGTTTAAAGAAACATTGATAATTCAGGATGGCTGCCGTACCCTGTTGAGGTCTTGTTTTAGAGATTGTTCAATGTCTGCTTGGTGTTCAGTGATGAGCCTGTGCAGGGCTCTGAGCTGCTGTTTCCTGTACTGCAGGGGTCTGGATCTGCCCGACTGGAAGACCTCCCTCAACCCATCCACAACCTGCTTCTCCATTTGTACAGGCCTGAATTATACTTTTCCTATAGGTTTGAGCAGAATAAAAATATTTTTTTAAGTCAACTAAATTACAATGGGAAAAGAGAATAAATATGATTTTCATTATAGAGGATAGCCAATTCTGATAATCTATATAAAGCAGTGTCTGGAGTCTTCCAAAGCTGATAAAAGTGTCAACATAATAATTATTTCAGTTTTTTTTTTTTTTTTTTATGGGCCATTTCAGTACAGAAATAAAGGTATTTTACTCCTCAGATACACTTACTGGCAAAATAATCACCATTGGTTAGTATCTTCTACAGGGGCTGTGTGGAAGGCTGCAAAAGATCTGTGGTTTCAAGAGGACTTTGAGAAGTGGTTGTAAAGTAAGAAAAAACCTATCCCAGAGGTTCAAAAGGGGAGCACCGAAGAAAGATGACACTTTGTGTAAAAGGGCCTTATAACACCTCAGAGAAAGCATTAGGTCACAGAGTGCACAAATTGTACTTCAGAAGCTCACTTCATCAGCCAGCTGTACTAACCACTGTGGAACATCAGATGTTTTAATATGAAGAGGCGTATATATATATCTCTGTACTTCACACTGATGCAAATGACACTGTAAAATAGGGTTTTATATACACTCACCTAAAGGATTATTAGGAACACCATACTAATACTGTGTTTGACCCCCTTTCGCCTTCAGAAATGCCTTAATTCTACGTGGCATTGATTCAACAAGGTGCTGAAAGCATTCTTTAGAAATGTTGGCCCATATTGATAGGATAGCATCTTGCAGTTGATGGAGATTTGTGGGATGCACATCCAGGGCACGAAGCTCCCGTTCCACCACATCCCAAAGATGCTCTATTGGGTTGAGATTTGGTGGCTGTGGGGGCCATTTTAGTACAGTGAACTCATTGTCCTGCTGGAAGTAGCCATCAGAGGATGGGTACATGGTGGCCATAAAGGGATGGACATGGTCAAAAACAATGCTCAGGTAGGCCGTGGCATTTAAATGGTAAATGGACTGCATTTATATAGCGCTTTCACAGACCCAATGGCCATCAAAGCGCTTTACATTTTGCCTCACATTCACCCATTCACTCATTCACACACCGACGGCGGTGTCAGCCATACAAGGCGCCATCCAGCTCGTCGGGAACAGCTGGGGTTAGGTGTCTTGCTCATGGCCTTGACAGGTTGTCAGGTGTGCCGTGAAAAAAATGATCACATTGCCAAAAATTATTAAAAACAAATGATACAATAAGATTATATCATTGCGCTGTTAGGCCGAATCATTAATCTCTCCAGCCTATATTTTATAATTTCTTAATAAAATTAATGCTATTGGTCATCCTTTACGTCTGTATGTGGGTTTTACAAATATTTAACCAATAAAAAGCATTTAAAAGAGGTTGTGAGTTGTGACTAAACCATTGGCTCCTCAAACTTTCAGTCAAACTAACTCCACCCCGCCTCCAATTAGAATGTATCGCGCACAGTTTCACGAGTTCACACTTACAAATGATCAGAGAATAGATGGTTATGCGTATTTGGCGTGCTGTCCGGGGGGAGGGCTCCGAGCTCGGAAATTGGGCCCGAACCCAGAGTACTCCCCCCGTATCTCTGTTTAGGAAGATAACTAGGCAAGTGTGAGGAGATGGGGTGGTGGAGGGATGCTGAAAACTGTCGAGGAATATGGGTGAGTCGACTGAGTATATTTATAGGCTTTACTCGTGCTGATTGAGTGGACCTGTTGATTACTGATTGCTGACAGCTGGCTGGAATGACTTGATTGTTTGATCATTAGAACGTGTTCCTCCCGAACCTTGTTAATAAAACATCAATTCACGAGTTCACACTTACAAATGATCAGAGAATAGATGGTTATGCGTATTTGGCGTGCTGTCCGGGGGGAGGGCTCCGAGCTCGGAAATTGGGCCCGAACCCAGAGTACTCCCCATAAAGCAAAGTGAATAAAGGACAGCCGGCTGCTTAAAGACCCCCCGAAAAGAGCGCAGAGATTGGCGGGCTGGCATTTCAAGGAGAGCCTGGTTGTTTGGCTGGGAGAGCTCTCGCAGCGTCCGACGGGAGTTCAATGCTTACGGTGTCGGACGGGTAAGTATGGACGTTCGAACGGGAGGGTTCTTGTGGCAATGGTCACGGCATCGGAAAGGGTAAGCCTCATCAGTCAGGAAAGAGAAAAACATAGATGCTTGACTGGGAGGGTTTGGCTACGTCCTCTGGGAGATCAATACTCGCTAGACGGAGGAGGAGGAGATGAAGATGCTTGACCTGGGGAACTCTCGCTGTGTCCGCTGGGAGATCAATACTCGCTGGACAGAGAAAGAGAAGATATAAATACTCGACCGGGAAGGCTGTCTCTGGGTCCGCTGGGAGATCAATACTCGCTGGACGGAAAAAGAGAAGAAATAAATACTCGACCGGGAAGGCTCTCGCTGTGTCCGCTGGGAGATCAATACTCGCTGGACGGAGAAAAGAGAAGACATGGATGCTTGACCTGGAAGGCTCTCGCTGTGTCCGCTGGGAGATCAATACTCGCTGGACGGAGAAAGAGAAGACATGGATGCTCGACCGGGAAGGCTCTCGCTGTGTCCGCTGGGAGATCAATACTCGCTGGACGGAGAAAGAGAAGACATGGATGCTCGACCGGGAAGGCTCTCGCTGTGTCCGCTGGGAGATCAATACTCACTGGACGGAGAAAAGAGAAGACATGGACGCTTGACCTGGAAGGCTCTCGCTGTGTCCGCTGGGAGATCAATACTCGCTGGATGGAGAAAGAGAAGACATGGATACTCGGAATTATTTTTTTTATTTTTTTATTTTTTTACCGATGAGGATTTGGTGGGCTTTTTTGATATGGAAACGATTAGTTCTGATGTAGGTTTGGTCCGCGTCTGAGGACCATCTTCCAAGCGCTTGGATCTGCTGTTGGGAGAGCCCTTTTTGGGCTGCTGAGGTTGCTGCCCCGATGCGGAAGGAATGGCTGGAGAAATTCTCTGCTGGGATGCCTGATAGTTGGAGAACAGATTTTAGGTGTTTTTGGAACCAAAAGCGTGTCACGGGTTTGTTAGAGTCGTCTATGAACAGGGGTTCGAGATGGGATTTAGCATGAGAGTTTCTCAGTTGGAGGTATGCTAGTATAGTTTGGAAAGGTTGAATTGGTGACGAGAGGTTGAAAATATATATGGAGTGGCCTTTTTTGGTTTGGTCTGTTTTGCTTTGTTTGATCAGAAAAGAGATAGTTTCGCTGTCAAGCACTGAAAGATCTGAGATGTTTGGGTGGATTTTTGGGTCGAATCTGGAAGTGATAGCCAGTTCAGAGCATCTTAGGAAACCAAAAAAAAGCTAGAATAAACATGGCGTCGAGTGTGCGAGAGGTATTAAGGGATCGGTAGCCTGAGCGGAGGGTATGAATGCATTTAGTAAGAATATCTAACGTTATGGGTTGTCTGGTGTCCGGGCGGGTGGGCTGGGATCGTTGGATGCCTTTAATTAAGAGGGAGGTTTGTGAATTATTTATCTCCGGTGAGGGGGCGCCGTGAATCAATTTGTGAAAAAATTGGATGCCGCTTAAGTAACTTTTGATGGACCCGACTTGGAGGCTCTTAACGCTGTTAAGGTAAGAGATGAAGGAGGTAATTGTAAGGAGGGAAAAATCAGGGAATGGCGTGTTGTAAGAAAGGTGGAAGGCTTTAAAACATCTCCACGCGGTCACATAGGATTGGAGAGTTCTGGGGGAAACTGCTTGGAGAATGGTGTCGAGCGATATGTTGAGGAGGGATTTTTGCGGGTGGGTTATGGGAATATTAATTCCGAATAATGAGGTACTGGAGTTGGTAGCTTGTCTGCCTCTGGAGCCAGCATCCTGAATTTCTGAAACATAAAGCGAGACAGAGAGTCAGCAATTTGGTTTTTTGACCCGGGGATGTGTTTAGCAATTAAGATAAATTGATCACATGCTGAAATCCAGATTAGACGTCTTAGAAGTGGCATCAGTGCGGGTGAATGGGAACAGCCTTTATTAATGCACTGGACTGTAGCTTCATTGTCACAATGCACTATGATACTGCTAGCAGTCCATTCTTTCCCCCACAGGAAGGCTGCTACTACGAGAGGGTAGAGCTCGAATAATGCGGAGGACTGTAGCGTGTCCTGTATTTGGGGGGGCCACGTAGACGCGAACCAGCGTCCTTGGCAGAACCCCCCAAAGCCGACTGAGGGGGCTGCATCTGTGAACAGCTGGATGTCGATGGGGGAGGAAATTAGATCCTTATAGAAAAATGATAGGCCGTTCCACTGTTTAAGAAAAGTTATCCATAGCCTGAGTTCGTCGTGGCATGCTGGAGTTAGGGAAATGAGATCCTCTAGTGCGTGAACTGAAGACGCGAGAGAGAGGAGATGAGAAATGAAAGGGCGGCCTTGTGGAATAATGCGCATGGCGAAGTTTAAGTGGCCGAGCATGGATAGGAGTTCGCGTTTGGAACACTTTGAACTGTCTACGAGGGTAGATGAGATGAGGATTATTCTATCGATTTTTTCCTTGGGCAGGGAGGCCTGGTATTTAACTGAATCTTAATGCCAAGGAACTCGATGGATGTGGCGGGACCCATGGTTTTTTCCTGGGCGATGGGAATTCCGAGCTCGGCAAATACTCTTTGAACTGTGAGGATCTGGGCTGCTGGAATGGCGCCGGGAGGCGAAATTATTAGAAAATCGTCCAGCAGGTGAATGAGGTGAGGAATTGCGTAATTGTTTGACAAGATCCAGCAAATGGCTTCAGATAGCATGTCAAAAATTTTGGGGCTGCTTTTGCATCCAAAAATTAAGCGTACGGCGAAATAGAATTTCCCATGCCAGCGCACTCCGAATAAGTGCCATGAATCCGGGTGGATGGGCATCACTTTAAAAGCCGAAGTGATGTCAATTTTTTGCGAGCCAGGCACCCCGACCCACGATTATTATGAGGTCGACTGCGTGATCTACGTCGTGATATTTGAGAGAAAATTCGTCGAGTGGGATCAGGCTGTTAATGCTTGGGAACAGGGATTTATGTGGAGCTGACAGATCGACTATGAGGCGTTTCTTACCTGAAAACTTTCTCGTAGCCACTCCAATGGGGCTAATGCGAAAAACTTTGAAAGGAGGCTCGTCAAAAGGGCCAATCATGAAGCCTGACTCGACTTCTTTTTTAATCAGGTTGTCTACCACGTTGGGCTCGGCGAGAGCCGATTGGAGATTATCGCAGATTATGTTTTGGGAGAGCGGACAAACCACTCCCGGTTTAAAACCGTGTTGTAGGCCAGACAGCAGATATTCAGTGAAGTCAGAGTCCGGGTGGTGAGCTAGTTCGATAGAAAGGCGAGAAATATTCACGGGAGTCGATAAATAATTTTTAGATTTTTTATTGACATCTTTAAAGACAGGGCATACAGGACGGGCATGAGCACCGCCACAGAAGCTGCATATGTGCAAGTACCGACAACGCTGCCTGGTGCACTTGCCGATATTAAAATTGTTGCAAGGCTGTTTGCTGTCCGTAAGTGCTCTGGAGCGGAAATTAGCCTCGTGTGGATATGGGTTGCTAGTCGCCGGTCTTGGTGTGTAGCTGGTGGATTTGACTGGTCCCGTTTCCGGGCATGGAGGAACGGAGGGGTTAACTTGAGGGCACGATATTGTGGAATGTGCCACTGACCTGCAGACCGCGCAAGAAATATTCCTGCAGCCAAGGAAAACTCTGCTGTGCAGGTCAGTGTCTAGTGCTCCCCAGTATGGGCATTGGTTCCACTGTGAAACCCTAACAGCGCATTTTGCTGAGAAGAGTTTGTGATATGTGTAAAAGTGCCCTCCCCCGTAGGACAACGCGAGCTCGGCTATCAGCGCTAAATAGTCGTTCAGTTCGCGTCGCCTATGAGGGAAGGCTGAACAAATGATTTCTGTGAAGTGGCTGAAAGCGATTGAAAACTCCGAAAAAGAAAGTAAACTTGATGAATGTGTATTCTGGTTTTTTAAAGTGACTGAAAAATCCCCGCAGTCTAACTGACGGTTAGAATCGGATACGGGAAGCAGAGAAAGTAAATGTGAAAGGTCTACATCCGCACCTGCCAGAATCTGTGCTCGGATGTTTTGAGTCACTGGGGGAGGCTCCAGAGCGACAGCGTTTGGTGGGACTGGCATCGGGGTAGCTGTGAAAAGAGAATATTGTGATTTGGCATTTAAGAGAGAGCTGTAAGGGAGAGAAGCCTGGGCTGCGACTATCGGCGGAGGCAGCCTCACGCTTAAGTCGGCCTGTGGGGCTTGAGAAGGAAAATTGAGAAAAGCATAAGGGGGAAAAGGAGGAAATAAATGAGATGCCTGAGCCTGTGTTGCAGGCGGAGGCGGTCTCGCACTTGCTTGAGCTGCAGGCCACTGAAAATGGGAGGGGTTAGCAGTAGTCGCGGGAAGGTGGTGGAAAGTTTGAGCCTGCACCGCTAGCGGAGGCAGCCTCACGCTAGCGTCTGCTATGGGAGCCGGAAGCCACTGCAGAGGAAAAGAGTTAGAAACAGCAGGAGGAAAACACTGGGAGGCAGAGGGTGACCTGGCGGGCCCAGCTGTGTATGGCACTGCGGCGGGAAGCGCCGTGCTGAAAAGCTCAGCTGAAGCGGGAGGCGAGTGAGGTCTCGTGGCGGTGGAATCTGGAGCGCGACCCAGGCTCCAGATTCCGCTTTATAGTTGCGCTTTAGTCATCCTGCGCGAGGGCTGAATATCAGAGTTTATCAGCGCTTGTCTCAGACTCAAGACTGTCCACTTCCCAATAGGCGGAATCGTTGGTACGGCCGAACGATAGGAGGATGCCGGGGAGGAAGCTGGAGTCCTCGCCGGTGGAGGTGAGGGTAAACCTCGGCGTCTTGGCGTGCGAGGGGTTGCTTGCGCAGACCGGCGCCCGCGAGATGAAACGTGGGGCTCGGAGGCGGTATCCGGTGGAGAGGTTGTCCTGGGGCCAGCTGATGGCGGCGGAGGAACCGGAGCATGGTTAAGCTCGTCATCGGATGGTGAAAACTGCATTTGGGACATCGTAGCAAAGCGGTAAACCAAATGCTGAAAACTGTCGAGGAATATGGGTGAGTCGACTGAGTATATTTATAGGCTTTACTCGTGCTGATTGAGTGGACCTGTTGATTACTGATTGCTGACAGCTGGCTGGAATGACTTGATTGTTTGATCATTAGAACGTGTTCCTCCCGAACCTTGTTAATAAAACATCAATTAGAGAGATCTCTGCTTGTTTGCGATGCAAATGAAAATAAAGTACTGATGTTTGCGTAAGCACAGCGTTTTATTTACTCAAGAAACACTGACCATAAAGGCTAACGTTTTTTGTATTTGAAGAGCGGAGAATAGTCGCAAATTGTGTTTTAAATATCTTGTGCATAGCGCTTCATCTTTTGTATCACCAACAACATCATACTTATTGTGTTCCATACCTGACGTAAGCTTTCACATTAAATGTGAGCACTTCCTTTAAAGCATAATATGTAGATTTATGTCATTTGAAGCAATGGATGTTTGTGCAATTTTGTCATATTTCTATATAGTGGTGTGCCGTTGGCAAAAAACAAAACAAAAAGGTTGGGAAACACTGTTAGTCACTTTACTTCAGCTAATCCCATCCTGCCTCTTTGCCCATTTTCGGTTATCTGGGAGTGACGTGCAGTGACGCGCTGCCAAGATGGCGATTGACGGCTCTGCCCGCTCTGCCCACTTCAAAAATGCTCTTCAGAAACCTACAGGTGACGTCACGGACACTATGTCCATATATTTTTTACAGCCTATGGTCTTGACTGAGGTTGTTAGATGTTCTGCAGGCATCTTGGCTTTCTTGTCTCCACCAATAAACTATTTTTGCATCTGGAACTCCGTGATTTGAGTGACTTTTTGCATGACATACACCATAAAGTTTTCGTGCACTATATTCCAAGACGTCTAAGCCATTCAGCTTAATGTGAAGTAATGAATATTTAAATCGTTAAGTTAAAGTTAATGGAAACTTATCTCTCCTCAGTCATTCTCCATTCAGCATCCAAACAGCATTTGGTTATGACAGTAACACGATGAAACTCATTTCAAGATCAATGTTCCCATTATTATACTTTATTTGTAGATAAAGGTCTATGCATAAAAGGACTGGAGTTTATTGCACATTTTTTAGCCAGGAGATTTTCTAATGATAGTATATTATATTTCATTTCCTGCAGCTTATCCTTTAAATCATGTTTATATATGCAGTTTTTGAGAACATGTTCAATTTTTTCTGGTTCATTACACTTATTGCACTTCCCTGTTGGATGTTTATTGATTTTATGTAAGTTGGTATTTAATGCTGTGTATGCAAAGTCTAAAAATGAATGATTATTATTTCCTTCTTAATATTGAAACCCAATCTCCTTTTCCCACTTTTTATCGGCTAACAACGTCCTTCAGCCATGACCTATTCGATACAGCACAGCAATAAGTTACTATTGCTTACTTATTCACCCAAGTTTACATATAAAAAATGTGAGGACTTTGCCTCATTTTAAAACACCATCGATAATATATGTGTGTGTATAGCAACAATGATGGTTCACAAGCGTACGACAAGCGCATAACTTATTTTCTTCTGTATTGTGAACCTGATTGACACAGTTATTCTTAATAAAAGAGCCTTTAAGTAGGCTAAGTTTTGTAGTATGACATGCTTTATGGAGCTTTTACAAATCGTTAGCAAACAGCTCTGGTCATGTTAGGGTTAACACCTCTTTTTAGACTCCTCAAACTCATAAGTAGCCTAAAGTTAGTCACAAATGTTACCGGTGGAATTAAAAGGGTTTAAAGTTCGCTGCTTGTTTACGGAGATACATAAACTCGTTCATGCCACGAGACTAAAGCATCTTTTTTCATATTTATACAGTCGATCGCGTGCATACAGTAGCTAAATGTATAAAACATTAGATAATCTGTTTGTAAAGGTCATGCACCCATTCGGGAAAGATAAACCAACTTATATCTGTCTAATACTTACATAAAATCGTTCGTAAAGAAGGTGCTGAATCTGTAACGGCTCCGGTGCAGTGACGTCGAGGGAGACTAGGTCACATTAACAAAACCACCGCATTTATCAATGTTCATCACATCAGAGGGCGGCGCGTCGGTCCACGCTACACACGTCCACTTACGAGGGAAGAATCACCACCTCTTTTAAAGAATGGCTACAAACGTGGTTGTAACGCATTCAATTGTGCTTATTCAATATGATGCACAAAATTGTACTATTAATAGGAGAACGTGGCGCAATATATTGTAACTTTAATGATTAAAAATGTAAATAATTCAGATTACATAGCATAGAACTCAGATTTAAGCTTTTTCCTTTATTACATAATGCTAATCACCAAAGCTAGTATAAAACACTGACAAGAGTATTTTACACCATTATGATTGCTTACTTATTAACAGAACTCCAAGTAAGAATCATCTGAAAGGTTGTACATTCAAGATCAATATGCTCTTCTGTCTTAATTGTGAATGATGGACATATTAACATCTTTAATATGCATGGAAAAATGTAATTATCAACAGCCCTGGGTCAAAAAGACAATCTTTAGGTTGTCCTTCGTTGGTCATCTCAAGAACCTCTGGAAAGCACAAAACAAATTAAATAATTTCACATAAAATGTTTTACAATAAGAAGACCATTCAAGGCACGACATTCATGACTAAAGAGCAAATGTCTCTATTTTACAATCTGCTTACTAACAATAAAACAGATATTTCAAGGCACACTAACTAATAGCAGAATTTCCCATTCTGAGTCTTCTAGCTATTAGGGAAGCAAAAGGTAACTATGCTGCAATTTTCTTTTTTAACTTTTTATTCATCAAATACTCCTGAAAAAAAGTATCACAGGTTATAAAAAAATATTAAGCAGCACAACTGTTTCCAACATTGATAATAAATCAGCATATTAGAATGATTTCTGAAGGATCGTGTGACACTGAAGACTGAAGTAATGGCTGATGACAATTCAGCTTTGCATCACAGAAATAAATTAAATTTTAAAGTAGGCTACATTCAAATTGAAAACCATTATTTTAAATTGTAAAAAATATTTTACAATATTACATTATATATATATAAAATGGATTAAAACCTTTCATCAAAGTTATACATGAATTTTGAACAATACCCGTTCTCATCTTTAATTAACTTTTTTGATCCACTTCAAATGTTGACTACTGTTTCTATATATATATATATATATATATATATATATATATATATAGATAGATAGAGAGAGAGAGAGAGAGAGAGAGAGAGAGAGAGAGAGAGAGAGAGAGAGAGAGAGAGAGAGAGAGAGAGAGAGAGAGAGAGAGAGAGAGAGAGCATCTCACCTTCACCACAAAGGCCGCCAGCACAGCAAGCATAGCAACCTGCGCCATCTGACGCCACCGAGCCAGATTTACTTGCTTTAAGAGAAAAACACGGGCCCAGCGTAACTTCTCCGTTGTATGGGGTGGGTAGCGCATCTGATTCACTCCCTCCATGTTCAGCTTCTTAATAAGACAGCTACGAAGGTGACTCAGCTGATCAAAACCATATTTGCCATGGTAACGACCAGTTCCACTATTCCCTGTTACAATTACACAATAAATCCATTGCCTGTATACATTTTTACAGCTGACTTAGAAAACCATGAAAATGAATAAAGATACTCACCAACCCCACCAAAAGGCAAATCACTTATGGTAAAATGCACCAGACAGTCATTGGCTAAGAGCGCTCCACTAGACGTCTCTGATATCATCTGTTTGATGACCTGTGAGAAAATAGAAATTGTTAGTTTGCCGTTTTACAGGAGGTGGAAATAATGCATTACTCTACCTACCTTACTACTGGAGGAGAAAACGTAGAGTGCTAGTGGCTTTTCTCGTTCGTTGATGAACTGAATGGCTTCATTTAAGCCATGGACAGTGATGACGGGCAGAATTGGCCCAAAGATCTCTTCCTGCATCACTTTGGATCCTGATGCCACATCCCTCAAAACAGTAGGAGCTGAAGCACACAGGAAAAATAAACGCATGGTCATGACAGGTCATGACAGAAATATAACATATTTCGGTAACGCTTTAGATTACAGCCCGGAAAGTACTGCATAATTAAGATGAATTTACAGCGTAACTTTAGGTAATTATAGTGTACCTATAAAGTACGTACATGTAAGTATAAGGGAACAATATGTAAAGTTTGGGGAATAAAGGGAAAACAACCAGGAGAATTAAAATATGATTTATACTGTAAGTATTATAGAACTAAGGGGTACTTATTCTACTATTATGATACAACAATCTTACTTTTTTTTTATGTTTCAAGGCAAATAAAGCTAAAACGATTGTAATTTTTTGTAAAAAACTGGGAAATATACTCTTGTTCCATGTAAGTGGTGCTTGTTACCCTCTTGTTTCATGTAGTTACAGGGTAAGTGTGACATTGCGGGCCGTAAATTAAAGTGGTGCTTGTTACCCTCTTCTTCCATGTAGTTACTGGGTAAGTACAATAAAAATACATACACAATCTTATATCACTGGGAAACCTTATTTTGAAAAACAACTTAATTCAAAACAGATGGACATGGTAACTACATGGAACAAGAGGGTAACAAGCACCACTACATGAAACAAGAGTAACTTTTCCCAATATTTAAGCAAAAATTGCAATAGGTTTAGGTTTCAGTGCACTTTTGTTAAAGGGGTCATATAATGGTACATGCACTTTTACAAGTTGATTGTACTGAAATGTCTGTTGGCAGTGCCTGTACACAACCATCATATAATGATAAAAATCCATCCAGTGTTTTTGTTTTAATCTCCTTATATGTTTTCCCATGCCTCAAATTGAGCCGTTCGATTTTGTGACGTCACACGCTCGGAAGCCCCTCCCACGAGTGTTGATTGACAGCATCGTTTCAACACAGACCCGCCCAGCTGTCAGCTGTCAATCATAGTCTGCGCGGACCGGCGCGGTCATTGTTGATATGCTGGAGCACTGTCTATGAGCAGAATGGCGTCTAAGCAATTGTGGTGTTCTGTTCTTGTTTGTAATAACGAACACAGCAGTCATTTTAATGTTCCTAAATCCGAACCGCTGAAGACGCAGTGGCTGAGTTTGTTTTCGACGAGCAACGTCAATGCTTTCATGTTTGCGCGAATCATTTCACACACCAGACTGCTTTATAAACGAGGATCAGTATAAAGCTGGTTTTGCTAAGAAGCTGCTCATGAAAAAAGGATAGGTACCAGCTATTCGTGTTCCTGCTGAACCTCTAGAACAACTGAAGTGAGTGTAATGTTTTATTAAACTTTATATTAATATTTATATTAATCTTTGCAAATCGCTAGCTGCACGCTTCACAATGAATGCGTCTAAGGTTTACACTTAGGGTACATTACGGCATGTTTTCTATGTATGATGTTCTCAATATAATTCATAATCCCACGTTTATACTGAACAACACGTTATGGTTATTGTGTTATTGTGTTACAAACGGTGTACGCACAGAACAGAGGGGCGAGGTGAGCAAAGCTCATTATCATTTAAAGTCATATGCACTGAAACAGCGTGCTGAAAACAGAGCTGTTTTTGACCAGGTAAAATAAGTGTTTTCTTACAATACTAATGAGAATTTTTAATTAAAGTATATTACAAACTTTTAATTTAGACCCTAAAGAATCATACTAGCTTGTACAAAAATGGCATTATATGACCCCTTTAAAAAGATTACTGTATAAATGCATAGATATGTACCCTGTAATTTTTAAAAAAAGCCTATACAGTATGTATTGGTTCACCATTATTACAAAAAGGTATGTTCTTGCTAAATTGCTCTCAAATGTAAGATTGTTGTATCATAATAGTAGAATAAGTACCCCATAGTTCTATAATACTTACAGTAAAAACATATTTTTTATTCTCATGGCTGTTACCCCTTTATTCCCCAAACTTTACATATTGTTCCCACATACTTACATGTACATACTTTATAGGTATACTATAATTACCAAAAGTTACACTGTAAAATCGTTTTAATTACGCAGTACTTTTTCCGGGCTGTAATCTAAAGCGTTACCCATATTTCCTTAACTTCTGCAACATACCGATATAACATTCCGATTCATCACTGTCTCCTCCAATTGCCATTGTGCTACCCTCAAGAAGTGCCATTATCCTCTTAAAATGCCGTTGATTAATAATCCGTCCATAGTCTGCAAAGCTCTTGGGGTCTTTCGTATAAAACTCCTGTTAAGTGAATAAATGAGACCGTAGTTACGTTTACATGCAGCCAAATAATCCGGTAGTAATCACTCAGTAGCAATTTTCTCAATCAGATTCAACTGTGCAGTGATGTTTACGTACGTTTACATACGTTTTTACATCTTACGAACGTGCAAATGTTTATTTCCTCCTTCGTTTTATGAATTGGTCAGTGGAGATTGAAGACTGAATTTACTAAAAAATTTGCTAAAAAAGCTTTTCTAACACAAATGTCATCAAGGCAAAAATGACAATTATGCTCACGGTATCTCCGGTGACATTATCGCGACGGATTTTTCCAGTTCTGAACGCTATGACTGGGCACTGCGCATGTGCGGAAGTTTTGTTTGAAATACATGTAATGCACATGTAAACGAATATGAGTTTATCAAAGTTTAGGGCTCATATAAACAGCTTTGAGAATCTGATATCAGATTGGATTCCTTCGGACTGACAAAAATTTGTGCATGTAAACATACATAACATTGTCAAAAGAGCAATAACATCTAAATACATACCTGGATGCATTTTTGGATCTCATTAATCACTTTGTCTTGGATAGTGGGTTCACAGAGGATGTAATCCGGTGCAATGCAGGTCTGACCACAGTTCATATACTTTCCCCAAGTAATGCGACTAATGGTGTAAGAACATTGTTGAATAAATTTTGTTGATTATTATTTCTTAATTAGTTATCACATACACCAAGTAGGGATCAAACTTGATTATTCTCGAGCTCACCTGGGCTTTTTCTAAACTACTATATAACTACTTAGCTTTAGGTTTATATAACTCATGGGAAACTCACCGGCAGGCAATTCTGATGTCACAGTTCTTGTCAATATAACAAGGGCTTTTCCCACCCAGTTCTAGAGTCACTGGTGTGAGATGATGAGCTGCTGCTTCCATAACCAGTTTCCCCACAGTGCTGTTCCCAGTGTAGAAGATGTGGTCGAAACGCTGCTTCAGCAGCTCCTGGGTCTCTGAAACCCCTCCTGTCACCACCTGATACATCTCCTGAACACATTAATAGAGATAGTAAATGGATTAAGGAAGTAAAATAATTTTATTTTTTTATTTTAAGGAGTCACTGAATGAAGCATTACAGGGTCCAGATAGAGAGGCAAGAGCTCCATAACTTTGGCTGTGTGAGAGCTCACTTCTGATGGTTTCACCACTGCAGCATTACCTACAGAATCAAACATTTCAGAGGCAGTTTACAGATCCGATGAGAAAGAGAATATTAGTGAATGTTTGGGTCTGATCTCTACACAGCATATGATAAGCTAATGACAATAGAAGAAAAACCTTATTCCCCATTCAATATGACTACACACGATAATAATAATAGAATCTATAGAGCTTTTATTTTGATGGAAAACTACAGGGAGACCACTAATCACATGACACTGAAGATGATGTCAACAAAAGGTGGATTTATGCTTTACCTGCAGCAATGGCACCCACAAGAGGTTGCAGGGTGACTGCTATTGGATAGTTCCATGCCCCAATGATGAGCACGACACCAAGAGGTTCTGGCTGTATGTACACATCATCTGAGATGGTGAGAAGGTTTTTATCCACAGGACGAGGAGCTGCCCACTCAGCCAGATTGCTGACAGCCAGATTGATTTCTCCCTCCAAGCCAAGGATCTCAAACATCTGTGTTGCATTTTCACTCTATGAAAACACAGCCATTATGTTCAATACAAAGATTCATCCAAATAAAACAAGCAGAGATTGCAATTTTGATTCACCTTATAGAGGTCTTTTCTCAGGGCATTAGTAATGTCCGTTGCTCTTTCTGTAATGAATCGATTTAGGTTTTTAAGTTGCTTAATTCTGTACTCCAGGGGTTTAGATCCTCCAGTCAAGAAAGCCTTCCTGGCCTGCTGAACGGCCAGCTGTTCTCGAGACATTCTAGAAAGTCAGTGCAGTCTAGATTGTGAGTCTATGAGTATGAGCAGAAATAATTCACAAAAAAAGTTGAACAGGTTAAAAGCAAGAATTTGGGACAGAATAGTGAAAAAAAGGAAAACGTTTTAAAACCCTTTTAAAACGTTTGCACATTTATGACTTTGTTTACATTAGGCATTCCTATGAAATTTACCTGAAAGATTTCAATGTCACGCCAGTTACTTTTGATAGCTGATGCCAAGGGTTGTATAGATTTGTAGCTATAGTTTATACGTTTGGGAACGTTTTACTTTACTCAAGTACTATAGTTCACTTTGTAGGTTATCATTATTTTAAAAATACTTAACAAATTAAACATACATAGCACATTGGGCTGACTCTGAGGTAATTACCAGAGAACAGAATATAGCCTTTGTCTGCCAAATGCATTTAGGGTAATACACTGACAACAGAAGCCATGCACAGGCAAGAAAGCCGGATCTTAAGTAATTCCTGTAGGTGGGTAATTGTTTGCAGTGCTAGTTAACGTTATGATTCTGATTCACCACGATGACTCCTCCAATCTTTTGAATCAGTTTTACCTCGGTTTTGTCAACTGCTGGGCATGACTTCAATTCCAGCAATAGAATAAACATGACAACTAGCCTAGCCTAGCCTGACTAATAGTTCATAGTAGTGAACTAATAGTTCATCTGATGTACAGCTTTACATAACCAGCACATTAAGAAAATTATGATTAAACATGTTAACCTGCTGCTTTACAAAGTTATGTGCATCAAAGAGAAATGTCTAAATCTTTTTGTAAAGCTAGGAAACACTTGAGTTCAAAAGCAAATCAATTTGATACGTTTTTTTTACTATAGGCCTAAAAGTTGGAAAATACATTTATTCTTCTGTAAAGTTTTGACACAACCACACTTTAAGTGCAATTTCTCTGTGCATTTTACATTCGTAATCTCTGACGACTGAACCGTACGATAACGTTAATTATTATCAACAAGACTGTGCGATGCTAAACTTCCAGGGAATTCTAATCTCTGAAACAGACAGATTAATTTACCTGAACGCTGAGACGTCAACATAAAATCACATCGTCATTTTGCGTCAGGGTCATTGGGAGTCACATGTAACACGCATATACGCTATAAACTATCAACAAACATACTTCTCCATGTTACCAGCAGAGGCACATGAAAGCTCAGAGAGCTGAGTCACATTCTTATCTTATCGTGTTTTGTGTGTGGCCCCAGATATAGATATTCTAAAGAGTGTAATCGTTTATTTACACGTATTCCAAGGAACTGTGCATGAGATGCTATTGGACATCGGCCCGACGAGCTCTATAAAACAATTACAATGATTTCCTTAAAAATCTACTAATTACAAACGTTTTTGATTGGTCCATCTACTTAGCCTGTTATTCAGCGCTGATAAAAGTATCAGGTACCACGTGACAACGATGTGTGCGATCATCTGGCTCAGATGCGGTGTGGAAATAATTTACACCTGGAAATCACATTGAGAAACGGACTTTAAATTAAAATATATATTGCGAAGAGTAAAATGAGAGAGAGAGAAAACGTAAATTTAGACATATCTTACCTGCCCGCCCACTTTTCTATTATTTCATGCTCATCATTTCATGCTTCCCGAAGTGCCATATTCGACTTTTTCGCTGGCTGTTATTGACGTTTCAGACACTGCACGCCTTCACGCGCCATCCACTGTTACAGTGTAGAACGTAGCCTTCTCTTTACAAAACAACAACAACAACAATAACGTCATGACATGTTTGGATAATTATTTTACAATATTTAGGTCTGCTGTTTGTTAATGTGGCATAATAATTTAGGAATATAATAATAATAATAAATATAATAATAATAATAAAACTATTTTATTATTAGACTTGCCCTTATAAGGAAACATAGTTTCAAACTATGTTGGATGTATAATTGTCTGAGTAAATCTGTATTGTAGACATTGTATAAGGGTAATATATTGTTTATTATTTGATCATTGTTTAGTATATGTTATTTATTTATCATTGTTTTATATGCCTATTTGTATGTTCATTTATATGTTCATTTAGTCTCACATAGTACCATGCATTTTCCTCTGTTAAAATACTATAGTATCAGTGTAGTGTTTGTTGTGAGGGCTAATCATTTCTCATAGCAATATCTTTCTGTTTTCAAATTCAACAATACTAAAACTTGATCTAACATATGATGCAAATATCAGCTGTTGTGGCAGCCTCTGCTATAGTACAAGTTTCATCCCTATTATTGCATATAAGTGAATAAATGGTGCTTGAACCTTATCAGCATTCCCATTAAAGCCCATCATGACAACTTATGGAAACTGACAACCACAATCATGCTGTTCTCCAACGCTAAAGGGACATAGAGTGACACTGGAGAATGGCTCAGCCATGCCTGTTACAGCTTCAGCCCTTTAGTTTGATGCCTCACATGTGAAAGGCATGTTGAGACATGTTCACTGTCACTCAGCATGTGATTAGTCAGCAAAGCTAAAATTTATGATTTACAGTATTATCATATGTTTTGCATTTGGAAATTCTGGACATGCCGCATTGCAACAATGAATTTGTCACTCAATATATTTGTCTTGTTTTCCAGTACAAATGTCTAAATATTCTTAAATCAGGATGCATTACTTAAAACTTAGAAGCAAAATGACTCAAGATATAAAGTCTTGTCTGAACAAAAGTGAGTGTATACTTTAAATAAGAAAACATGTAAATGATGTAAGAAAAAAATAATTCAAAGTGATTAATTTAAAATAGTTTTGAGATATTTTTCTTGTTTTACGCATAAATGGTAACACTTTTAGGACAGGTTCCATTTGTTAACCATTAGTTAACACAAACTAACAATGAAAAATACATTTAAATTAATTATTAATCTTAATGTTAATTTCAACAGTTAATTCCAACATTTACTAAAACATTATTAAAATCAAAAGTTGTGTCTGTTAATATTATTTAACGGACCTGAGCTAACATGAACTAACAATGAACAGTTGTATTTTGTTAACTAACTTTTACAAAGATTAATAAATACTGTAACAAATGTATAGATTGCTAGTTAATGTTAGTTAATAAATTAAAGGGATAGTTCACCCAAAAATGAAAATTCTGTCATCAGTTACTCACCCTCAAATTGTTCCAAACCTGTATGAATTTCTTTCTTCTGCTGAACACAAAATAAGATAATTGAAGAATATGGGTAACTTCCATAGTATATAGAGTATATAAAAAAACACTATGGAAGTCAATGGGGCCCATCAACTTTTTGGTTACCCTCATTCTTCAAAATATCTTATTTTGTGTTCAGCAGACAAAAAAATCATACAGGTTTGGAACAATTTGAGGGTGAGTAAACGATGACAGAATTTTCATTTTTGGTTGAACTATCCCTTTAACCAATGTTAACTAATATGTCCTTATTGTAAAGACTTACCTCATAAAGATATTCGAATAAATATTTGAAATAGAAAACAAGACAAAAATATTTTTTGTAGAGTTTTACCACCAGAGGATGCCAGTGAGTTCTTTATTGTCCAAGGTAAATATCTTTAGCTTTATATTGTTCATACAGGTCCCCGCCGCCAGGGGGAGCACCAAGCGCTGTCATAGTTGTTTTATACCATTAAAGATAAACTAGCACTAGAGCCTAGCAACAAACTTTGTAATTATCCTTATTCAACAAACATTTCAAGTGCGTATTTTTTTTGGTCATATGAGTTATATTTCCCCTTAATATTTCTTTCTTTCTTTCTTTCTTTCTTTCTTTCTTTCTTTCTTTCTTTCTTTCTTTCTTTCTTTCTTTCTTTCTTTCTTTCTTTCTTTCTTTCTTTCTTTCTTTCTTTCTTTCTTTCTTTCTTTCTTCCCTATTCTGGTGGAAAATTAACACTGTGCCATTTTTTTCTTTTTACAGCGTCCTTAAAATATTCTTCTCATTTGCATGCTCTGATTTCTTGCAGAGCTCAGGCTTTGTTTTCGTGAGCTAACAGGACTATCCTTCGGGGCGGAGGACGACGCACTCGCGTGCGCGGAGGAACACAATATTACAGCCTTCTCCTGTAAGAGCTCTGTGTCATTGTAATGCAGCAAAGCAAGCTGAGATCACGGTCAACTTCTCCAAACGAACTGAAGAAGATAAACCTTAAACTCCCCTCACCTATAACGGATCTTGCTTTTAACGTATTTTCCTGCGTTTCTTAAAAGTGAAGCGCTGATGTTTTCCTCCATTGTCCCGCGAAATCGAAAGCAGGACTGAGGGGTGTACTGAAGAAATGGTGTACACAGCTATCATATGGATCTAAAGAAGAGCACAATATCGTTGAAGAAGAACGGCATTAAACGGAACAGTTATTTTGTGAACTGACCTGCTATTATTCAGGCGATACTGCTTGTCTAAAATGTAAAATCGATGTCGTAACACATCTAGATATTATTTAATGCGATTCTTCTGCTAAATTGTCAGTGTAAAAATCTGTTACATTGTAAATGCAAATCTCTGGCTGTCATTTTAGCCAGCTCGCAATGGGCAACTCAATGACCCACCGCGCCGTTATTGAGCTAAGGCACCATAAAAGGGAGAGGGGGTTTGCAACCCCTTTCTTTGCTTTTAAACTGAACTGACATCATGTAGCATGTATTTTGCTAAATGGCTTGTTAACTGTGTCAGAGAGTGACAGCGAAACATCCTGCGCATCTATTATGAAACTTCACATTTAGCTATTCCTTTGTTTTGATCCTTACTTAAGCCAGAAGTTGTTAGTCAACTCTCAGGTGTACTAAGTCGTCCTTCGCATTAATAATTTGGGGATCGTCCTTCGCATTAATAATTTGGGGATGACAGGATTCTTGAATAGACTGTCGTCTGGATTAACGAGAGTTTGAAGAACTTGACAACCTCTCCATCACAAGCTGTAGTGTATCACAGCAGGACACTTGCCAAAAAATGGAGACGGTGGGAGACTTTGAATACAGCAGAAAAGATCTCGTCGGACACGGAGCCTTTGCGGTCGTCTTCAAGGGAAGACATAAAAAGGTAAATAAGCGCTAAGCATCATTGGTCACTCGGACTGCAAATCTCGGCCATGCTTGTTGTTGTGCATCACATTTAAAGTGAGGTAGCCTATTTAAATGTCAAATTTGCCTGATAGAATACATGTTTTTTAATATAGACAAATATATATGCATTGTGCTTTTCACGTCTTGTGCGAGTCATAGCAATCCTTGCTTAGAAACCGTGGGATGTTTTTATGTAAGATGTGCTAGGTCACAATACTGCTGGAGTCATTCATTCATAAAACAGCCTCCGCGAATAAGCAGTCTCTGACGTCAAAACGACTGACCGGTCTACTTTGGGCGGAAAGAAGACAGTTATGATTTCTGCTTTATTTTATTTTTTTACATTGCCTAAATACAAATAACGCACTGACTGGTGTTATGAGAAAATGGCAAGCCGTTTTAACATTATTGCCTAAACCTAACTAGCCTATCTATTTTGTATGTAGTGTTTTTTAAATGACTAGTCCATTATCAACTAGCATCATTTTCATTTTAGTAGCTAGTCATTAGATTCTGTAACACTTTACAATGTCCTTGTTACATATGTTACATGTACTTACCATAGTAATAACAGTAAATTAGGCAAAATGACATGCAACTAACCCTCACCCAAACCCTGCCCCTATAGTAAGTAGCCTGTAAGCCTGCTGTTAATATTACTCAGTACTTAAATATATAATTACACTGTAACAATGACACCTTAAAATAAAGTGTAACCTTATATTCTGAAATAGTTATCTAAAATAAATTTTAATAGAAACAATTGGGATAGATAGCCTAGTGTTTTATAAATAGTTGTAGAGAAGCTGGAATGAATACTACTGTTGGGTTTTTGATTGGAGACTTTGATTTGAGATTTGAGACTTTATTAAGATCTCTCCTGAATCTCTAGTGGAGACACATGTGAGATTACTGGGCTATGTTCTCAGGTGAAACATCCAAGAAGCAGGCAACATCTCCAGTTTCTGTCCTTGCAATCTCATTGGTGTCTATAGGAGAAACAATTAAGATATATCCGGATATAAGGGAATATCTGTAAATGTTTTTAGCTGAGTTGATCATTATTTTTTATGTTATTATGATCAATAAGCGATATGATGATGGCAGTAATATACTTTTCCATCTTTTAGTTGCAATGTAACCAAAGTATCGATCGACAGATATTTTCGATGTATTGTGTGATGGACATCCAACGGATTATTGAAAAAGAAAATATGTAGAGTGGGGACTTGGTTCAATCCACCGGTTGTTGATTGGATGAAAGGCAAATCTGAATGCAAGCTTGCTGTTGACTGTAAGAAAAGAGCGGGGTTAAGGGGACTAAATGATTGGAGAAGTCTGGCATACATCACCAGAGAGTGTCTGTTGTTTGTTTCACTAGAAGATCTAGTTATGACATTTTGATTAAATACTTATTTAAAAAAAACGTTTTAACTGTAACATATGCATGGATGAATTTACAATCAATAGCATGCATTTAGAAAATAGATGAATTTCCATTTCCTGCCACTTCAAAAGCGTTTCAATCTCTCTACAATGTAGAATGAAAATCAGGAATCCAAACCTTAAATGTACAGTTGAAAAAATGGTTTTTAAAATCGATTTAAAATCGGTTTTGTTGAACCCTGGTATTATCAGATCGAATGCTGATATTGATTTATTGTGCATCATTATAAGAGCTATCTCTGTATGATTGTGTGTGTGGAAATGCTCAGTGTATGCACAGCATGTAGTACAACATCAGCTATATAATATAGCAGGAGTAATTCGGTATTTATGATCACCTGCCTCATCCCAAGCAGCTGACTCGATTCAACCAGTGAGACAGTTTTATTTTCATCCTACATCACACATGCTTATGATCACTGATTGATGTATTCTAGCTTGAAGATGATGTCAAAGATGCAGACTGACATAGACATAAATTAGCTGCATATATAGGACATTTCTGTAATTTTTTCATTAAAGCTTGAGCATTTAAGTCTCTTCATTCCTTTTAAATACTCATCTAGTAAATGGGGTCAATATAAAAGCCAACAGCGTTTTCCCGGGGATGCCTTTACCACGCTTGGCTGAGTCGGTTTTCAGTGAGGCCGGATGAACGCAACCGCTCTTGCGTGCTGCCAGCACTTTGCTATGGCACAGTGTGCCGAACATCTCTTATTAACCTACATTTACATGAAAAGCATCGTTCTATTCATGGATTTCCACTCTGCATTGGGGACACAGTTTCTTTAAGCTGGTGTGCGGCCCTATGGAGTCCCACCTTGCACAAGTGCCTCTCCCAAAGGCTAAAATCCCAATTATACTATCAGCTTTATCTGGTTCTAGGTCACAAGTTGAGAAATAGATGCAGCATGCTGAAAAGAATGGCCTTTTGAATCAAATGTTTGTGTCCTCAACAAAAATACTCCCACTTACAGGAATAAACAGTTAAACATTCAGAACTCTTAACACTCAAAAATTAAAGAGTAAATGTTTATATATATATATATATATATATATATATATAAAAGTTATAAATGTAATTTGGCACATGCATGTGACCCCTCTCCGCCATCCTATAATTGCTCTCTCTGTGTAATATTTGCAGAAGACTGATTGGGAGGTCGCAATCAAGAGTATTAACAAAAAGAATCTCTCCAAATCCCAGATTCTGCTTGGAAAAGAAATTAAAATTTTAAAGGTGAGTTTTTTTTGTGTGTGTGTGTGTGTGTGTGTGTGTGTGTGTGTGTGTTTTGAAAGAAATTAATACTTTAATTCAGCAAGGACACATTAAATTGATTAAAAGTGACAGTAAAGACATGAATGTTACAAAAGATTTATGTTTCAAGTAAATCCTGTTCATCTCGAATCCTGAAAAAAATGTATCACGGTTTACTTAAAAGTATTAAGCAGCACAGCTGTTTTCAACATTGATATTATAATTATTTCTAAAGGATTGTGTGACACTGAAGACTGAAGTAATGATGCTGAAAATTCAGCTTTGACATCACTACAATTTAAAATGTTAAAAATTAAAAACATTTTTTTTTAAATTGTAAACTGTATTTTTGTGTTTACTGTATTTTTAAGCAAATAAATGCAGCCTTGGTGAGCATAAGAGACTTATTTCAAAAACATTTAAAAAATCTTACCAAACTCAAAATTTTAATGCCAGTGTATATTATTTTGTGCAATTATTATTTTTGTATTATTTTAAATAATATAAAATGAATTGGTCTTATATTATTATATTTATTTATGTTTATTATTATACTGTGTTAATTATAGACGGTGTTTATTTTTTTGTTTATAGGAACTCCAGCATGAGAACATTGTGGCACTCTATGATGTCCAGGTAATGGCTTTTTACTCATTTATTACTATAATCTCTGAATGCTCTGTCCTCACTAACTCTGAGCAGATTTGCCTAGAGCTGTCAGTGCTCTACTATCCACTAAGAGCTGTGAGGGCCTACGGGACTGGCACAGTTCTTATATAACACCACCCTTCACATGACAAGTCACATGACCTATCCTAGACTAAGCCTCGCTGTACATTGCTTGAGACCTCTTTGAAAATATCCCACACATTATTCTCCAATCCTATAAAGTCATTAAAGAGGACGTTAATTGTAATTCTAATAGCTATTAATGCAAAAAATACATTGTGTGCACTGTGCAGCCCTTTATAAGTGTCTTACAGGGTACATTAGATAATAATGTCACTGGCCAGGAGGAAATAAGATTATTTCTCAGCATCCTTGGGGCTGAATACTGCATACTATAGTGAAAATGTCAGCCAGTTCTGTTAGCAAGCTAATTCATCCATCAATACCCCTGCCTTCCTCCTTTCTGCATCCCACCAGCAGTATCATATAGGGGGAGGGTTTGCCTTCTCTGGAATGGTGTAGGCTGTTTAAACACCATTTCATTGGTCCAAACCATCGGCTGACAGAGCAAGCACTGTTCTGAAAGCATGTTGATGTCTACGGCAGGATCAAAACTGCGAAAAGCTGTAGGTTTAATTAGGCTGTTATGACTCAGTCACCTACACACCTTTGACATGTAATGCTTCCCAGTATAGTGAGGTGAGTCGTTAAATATCCTGCACTTCCAACGCAGCATGCGTCTTCCTGTGCTTATATAACACTCCCACCCGACACACACCTGCAGTGCTGATGGGGGCCCTTAGACCCCTCATCCTTCAGTTAAGCATGCTTTTCTGAATCAGTTTTTGTGCTGAACGGTGCAACACTTTTGGTCTTCTTCAGGAAGACACTTGAGAAGAAGAGTGATTTTATGTGTAATCTATCTCTGCTCCAAGGGCAGAAGGTCTGAGAACACTACAAGCTGTTTACATTCATCTCACTGATCTCTTTAAGGCAGATCGTTCTTGAGGAGACACTGTTTATCTCCATCAAATTTTTTTTTTTTTTAGTTGGTGTGAGAAATTATAGCATTTTGTCTCGGTTGTGACAGTTAGCACCAAAATCTGTCCCGCTTGGCCCGAGGTGTGTTTTTCCTCACTGCGCTGAAATGGAGAAGTGGGTGTCAGCTGTGACGTACTGTAGCTGTTCATCAGCTGTTTCTGGAGACTTGCATGCTTAGTCGCTCATTCAGTCAGACGACCATAAATACATTTGTGCAACGCTGAGATCCCCTTCCTGCTAAACTCTTGTTTTCTCAATCACGAGGTCAGTCTGACGGAGGTAGAAGTTGATCTTATTCTATCCTGGAAGATTCAAGTCATCCCCCCTGCTCCCCCACTATAGTTAAGCCGGGTTTTTTTCTGCCAGGAAAAGACCCAGATATCTGAATCATGTTGAATACTCACATGGGCTTTTGCAGGTTGGACATTTGTATAGTAATTAGATTATAAATTAAATGCGTCCTAAACACTAATTGTATTGAGTAGGTCTCTAGCCTAAGGCTTAAGTCTGGCACCTTTTTAGTCAATGAATAAGAAAACAGAATCATTGTTCAGTTTATACCTTATGTTATCATAACTTTGTTGTATGATAGCTGCAATTATACTTTTCTAACTATACTAAAGTACTTCGTTCCCCAGTGGCATTCACACTTTTCTTTGTGATGGTCTTTTCTTTGTGATGGAATTCTTCTCGATTTCATGAACTCACTATCACGTTGCAGATCTGTCACTTTCACTAACTTATTGCACTGTAAACACAAAGCAAGTAGATACCTGCTTGACTGCTTCTCAAATGAAATAAATGGCCGTTTACCTCAGCAGGCACCATGAGCCGCACACTACAGAAGAACGTGACCTTTATCCACCACACTTCTCTTGATGGCAGCACAGAGCCCTGGGGAATACTAATGGCGTTCCCTTCCAAGCCCAATTACGCTACCTTGGACTGTTTACAATCCACTGTCATTAAAGATGTTAGGAGGATTGACTTTTTTGTACCCAGCCAGAGGTGTCTAGTTAAAGCATAGCAACAGGGAGCCTTTGCCCTTTCACATTTCAGCTGTGCTGTGAGAGGTGGCCCTCAGATCCCACTACGCCACACGAAGCATATGCAGCGCGGTAGCACTCCGCCCCAGACCTGCAGCTCTGATAACGATCTCATCCCACATGATGAAGAAGTGTGAATGCTTGTGGCTGCTTGTGATTAATGCCAACGTCAGTGCCAGTTCACACGTGCGTGCTTTCTTAGAACACATACACATAGAGATGTTAGAGCGTTATTTAGCTTTTTCTCAATGGGGATTTGTACAGATGGAGCTGAAGATATCGCCATAGCTTTTTAATTACAGGCTTGCAGTGAGAGCTGAGCAGCTCCAGTCAAATTTTATTCAGTGGTGTCCCTGCTCTGGCAGAGGGAGGCTGGAGACCTGCTGTAATAACAGGGTGGTGATTCTTTCTTCTGCCTGAATGAGTGTACTTGTGCTTTGCCTTTAAAGGGATAGATCACCCAAAACGCACCCTTGTTTAGAGCTGCACAATTAATCAAAACAAAAGTACAAAAGCAAAATAGCAATATGGCTTAGTGCGATTATGAAATCGCAAAGTCTACGATTGAATTCAATTAAAATATGCATGGAATTTTGCAGAGTAAAATATACCACAGTGTTCCTTTACACGCGAAGAGCTGATGATCCAGTGTCTCAGAGTGGCTCGGGTCACAGTAAATGGTGCTCCACAGTCCAGACAAAATCATCTCTGCAAACGCTATAAGTTTACCTCGCTTATAACGTACAGGTATTTTTGGGAATGCAACATGCGCCAAATCATCTTCCCAAACTTGTAATTAAAAGTGCTTATAAACAGGCATCAAAATAAAAGCTTTATGGTTTAATGTTAAAAAAAAGTATTTAAAACAGCCATAAATATTAGTATTGTAATTTTACATTATTATATATATTTTTCTTTAATGCTAATTTTTTTTATGAAATGTCACAATAGTAATATTTTCTTGATTGTAGGGCTGCACAATTTGTTTTGATTATATGTCAATATGACTGTATAATAATAATGATAAAACATCATTAATAATAATAACATCATTAATTAATTAATTATTATTTTATAGTTATAACGACGGTATATATAAAATATCAATTCTGACCAAATTGTGCAGCCCTACAAACCAGCACAGGAAACCTGGAGCTTTTTTTTTTTTTTTTACCAAAAAAAATGAAACCATTTTAAATTAATTGCAGTCCTGCCCTCATAAGGTTCCACACCTGTATGCCTTTATATTTTCTGTACAACACAAAAGAAGATTATTTTAAAATAAAAAGTGCAATGCAATGAAAGTCAATAGGGCTGTTTTGGACACCACTCACTTTTTTTGCATGGACAAAAATTTTGAAACATTCTTCAAACAATCCCTTGAATAAACAGAGAAGTGTTGTTCAAATGTGCAAAAAGCACGTACATTTTAAGGAAAGGGAAATATAAGGGCTGGAAGGATTCTAACTTGGAATCATGAAGTCGGAGGGAGGAGTGGGTGGGGTTTTGAGTCGGGGTGGGAGGAGCCAGGTTTGTATGCATGAGACAATCTATGTATCAAAACAGAACTTGAACTTCCTGTTAGAGAACAGCGTGTCCCAGTGGAGGACGGATTGACTTGTTGTCTTCAGTTTTCTGAGAAGGAGGGGAGGAATGAATTCAAATGAAGACTGTCAGCAATGAGTGGTGGGTGCAGGAAAAGAAAGACAGCATGGGAACACATGGAAACTGTTAACGTTTTCCTCGAGAGCTGCCTGCAGGAACTAATAAGTGTTCAGCTAATAAGTTGTGTTCACTATGGTGGATGATAACTCTTTGCCATTAAGCAATAAATCTATTCATTCACATTACAGTGTATAGTGTTCTCTAAATGCCCACCTTTAAGGTTTGTTTCTCATTTCTTACCACCAACCCACCAACATTTCACCAAGTGTAGGCTGCCTGTTTATTTACCAGCCCTTCGTGGGCTGTAGACACAAAAAAGAATGTTTATTTTTGTCTTAATCTCTTTCTCTATCTTACAACTGTGAAGGTTCATGGCCTTACCTCAGGCAAAATGATGTGCTGTTGTTCTTCTCTACCTGTTCTTGCTGATAACGATACTCAAGTGTGTCAATCAGAGCTCCAGGGACATTGCTTTAGAAACAATCTCATCTGAAAGGACAGTCTGTGTCTTTAGACTCACGACACCTTGAGTATACCTTACATCCCCAGAATGTTGTGTTCCCTTATCATGTAGATTACTAGAAACTGGTTGAGATCCTAAGAAGAACACATCAATCTCTCACAATTGGTTGCACATGTGGTGTTTCTCAAATATTCCTAGAATTTAAAGCGCTGCTTTGGCTGGATTTTGTAATCCAACACTTAGTTATGATGCAGTACTCTCACTGCCTGGCTGCCTTTTGACTTCATGTCGATGTTTTGAAGCTCATGTTAGCTCTGGAGATATGATCGGAATGCAGCCTAGCTCTAGCTTTGTTTTTTTGTCAATGGTGCTTTGTTGTAGGGTTGACCCGATACCAAAATTTTACAGTCAAAATTTGCCAACTCTTGATGTCTCCTGTTGCAGCGAAAACACAGAAATTAAAATTTTATTTTAGGTGAAAACTTGGAAATAAAATTTTGGTGATTAAATTGTGTAGTTGAACTTTTTATGCTGTCGTGTTCTCAGGTGATTAAACCAGTCATAGTAAAGTTCTTAGGCAATGAGCTGGCTCTCGATATTTCAGCCAAACAAATTTTACATATTTCGACTTGTGCATCCTTTTAGGTCAGAGTCAAGTTCATGCATGACATGTTTACCTGTTGTAGCTTATTCATGTTGTGTGCACGAATATTTTAGCTGAATATTCCGGATGCCAAAATTCCAATGCATTT